ATCTCCCCTTAAAAAGAAAACACCATGAAGGAACTCCAAACTACGATGTAAGTACTGTAAACACTGCTACAAACATACCTTGAGTCACTTACAGAATCAGAACTACAAAAGTGGTACGGTATCAAGCTATAAGAGGTAAAATAATATTTTTTTCAAACGGTACAAGAGAAACGACTTCAAAGGCCAGTGCCCCTCTCTGTGAGAGAGAAGAAAATATAACACCCCACCGCGAGAGAAGATGGGGGGGGGGGGAATGCGACCGGACAGGGGGAACCCCTCCCTCCAGAGTCATTATTACAAAATAATAAACTCAAAAGGGCAATTTGGAGCATCTTCAAAGTTCAAAAGTTCATTTATTAGGTATAGCCCTGTGAGCCATTCGGCTCTTGAATCAGGTGCAACCGCAACAAACAAAAAACAAAAACATGAACAAGAAAACATCTTAAAGTAACTATGTGCAAACAGAAAATCCAAGAAAAGACAGCAAAATATTGCAGAAAAATCACCGTACACCAACCCTGTGCAAATATCCCAGTGGGATGCAAGTCAAACAACAACAACAACCACAAGACAACTTAGATTAAGGCCATCAGTCTAACTCTGTACTACAACAAACAAACATGGCCAAACCAAAAAACTTTTCGAAAATCACCAAAATAAAGCCATAAAAGCAATGAAACATAGGAACTGTGACCGAATTTTCACAATAAACGACATAAACAACATGTGAGAAGGCGAGCAGAGAGGAGAGAATTTCAGATATAACCAGTGACACGAGACATCCAATTCAGTGCTGCGATCGGCAGGCTCCGGGAACCTGCCCCGTGACTGGCACATCGTCAACGAGCTGCATCAGCAGAAGCCACGAGTCTACAAAGTCAACGCAAAGACTTGAGTACTGCAAGCGGCAAGCTCCGGGGTGGGACTCTGCAATCAACCAAGGATGGCGAGGCTTGCCGAGTAGCGATGGGTCACCGAGTACGAGTTCAGCGCTGACAGAAGTATCGCTCAAAGTTATTCTACACTGAGTGCCAGCTCCCACGAGCAGCTGCAGCCCAAGAGATAGAGTAACGAGCAATGATGAGCAATCAACCGGGAGAAAGGGCGGAAAACGCCAAGCATCGACCAAGCCAGCATCGCAGAGAACCAGCTGCACGCGCAACCAAGCATCGACAGAGAGCACGGAGCCGGAGAGAGAGCGCAGCAGCGCCACCAGCGCCACCGAGCAAGGGTGTCAGCTGCCAGCGGACAAGCGCGATCACTATCATGCACCTTCAAAGACAAGCGTCGTGGCGACTCAGCTCATCCAGCAGGGGAAAGAGCCTGACCAGCTGCCCGTGAGGAAGAGAGCGCCAGCGAGAGCGCCGTGGGTTCGACCCACACACACCAACCAGCACCAGCTGGGAACCAAGACAAGAGTGAGAAATGGCGACCAGCGGACGAGCTGCGGGCGCTATCTGACGACGGAATCATCGTGCACCGCCGATGGCGAGCGTCGTGCCGACTCTTCATCCAACAGTGGACAAGCAGCTCCAGCTACTGCCAAGCGAGCGAGGAAGTCATATGTATGACCCTCCCCCACACTCACGCACTAACGCATCGCCCGACGTCTGCTTAACGCAAACAATTAAACCAGACAAAACCACCAACACACATAAAGCACATACCGGGACTAATAATAAGACCAATGATAAGTGCGTCAACTATTAGCTGATAATGAAGAACATTGCTGCCCATTGAGTTACGTGGATACGGTCGTTTAGAAGTATTTAGTCGTTATTTTTGTTAATTGTAACTGTACCAATGAATTCATTGACGAAACTAAACGTTTAGAAACCTGCGTTACGAATCCACACCCTCACATGGAGACTATTGTGTTGAAATCTTTCTTTTGATCACAGAATCTTGCCCGCGAATGTATTGAAGCCTTAGCCAATTGATAAGTATTTGCTGAAGCAGGCAGACTGCTGCACACCATTGTTCCAAGACACTTCGTTAATTACATAATCTTACCAATGAATTCATTGAGCTCTACTTTTGCCTTCGGGACATGCTTCTTTATTGCCGTTCGTATGAATATCGTCACATTAATTTTTAAGGACTTTTTCCTATCGCCGTATATGCTTGCGTTACTCTGAGGAATGTATCGATTGTTCTGTTACCCAGTTTAACAACGTAATAATTGAGGGTTAAATGTACGGATCAATGAGAACATCTCCAGGAGGACTTTGTTGACAATTCCAAGCATAGGAGTTTGCATATTAGAATGCTATGTTTTTTTTTAGAGATTAAAGTTGCTTAACACAGAAGTGTCTGAGTGGTGCCTTCCTAAGTTCATGCATAATAATCTTAATTATGAGAACAATCAGTAAATGTTAAAGCGAGAATTGTCCCGATTGATAATACAACCCAAGACAATGAAGTCAAGCTAATTTAGCATAATTACATCACACTTGCATAACTTCATTGTATTATCCCGATTGATAATACAACACAAGACGAGGCAGAACCTAATTATAACTGAATGCATTAACATAATTGCATACATTTGCATAACGTAATACAAGTATACATTCCTAAATAGCATGAATTGTGTAATTTCATAAATTAGCATAATTTCAAATACTTGCACGTTTTCCAATTTTCATTTAATGTTATTTATTTTTTTCATAAAATTTTCATGACCCAACATATACAACACTTGCCAACCGCGGGGCTTACAGTGTGGTGGCAATCATTTTTTTTACGTTAACCCCATCGTTTTCACGCGCCCCCTGCATGAACGGAGGCGCAGGGACAGACGTTCGATCACGTTGGAATCGATCTGCAGATGGCGGTCTTCTCGCACGGCAAGCTCTATGTCGCCTTATCTCGATCCCGCGATCCAAACCAGGTAAAAGTCCGCATCGAAACGAATCCACGGCAAGGCCATCTACTTCACGACGAGAGAAAATTCACACGAAATGTTTTAGTCTTCCAGATGTAAAATGATATAAGCTTTTAATTAATAAATACAATTATATAATAAAAAAATAAAAATTCAAAGTTTTTTCATTTTAAAACTTCAAAACGGAGCATTGGGAGCTTGCGTGAATGCATCGCTCGTGTGCAATTTTTTTGTGACTTTCCTGGCCGAAGGTCGTAAATGGTTGTGAGGGGCGCCGCAGGCGGTCAGGCTTGCTTAAACCCATGGTTGTGAACATCCAGACGTTAATCGACAAGGACCATTTTTTGTACTCGTTCGCCAACATATAAGACGTCATGCAAAATTCGAATGAGTGTTATGGAGAATGTATTTACTAGATGTGCTCTGCCTTGTAACCGAATACAAATCTGTACCAAAATGCATTCCAAATGTGCTCTTAAAATTACCTCCTTGCTATGAAGCAGATCAGCAGACACGACATCTTTCATTTATCGATCTCTCCACAAAACAAAGGAATGTTTTACACAAACTATAACTAGCAGCCTTCTGAGAGTACACCATTGATTCAGTGCAAGCCACCTGTGGACCCTTATTGGTGCACAGCGTCTCAACAGCAGCCGGGCTTGCTTAAACCAATAGTTTCAAACACACAGACGTGAACCAGCAAGGAGTATTTCTAGTCCGGGTTAGACAAAATCTACGTCAACACGTAATACAAAATTATAATTCGTGTTGTAGAGAATGTATCTCCTCTGCGTGTAACTTTTAAGTGGTATGCCTTGCAATTGATGAATGATCCAAGTGTGCTCCCTATTTCAAAGACAATGAGTTGCTCGAGAGGCAGATGCTTCCTGAAAACACAAAAAATACCCTTTGACCTGTATCACAAGAACAACGGGTCTCACCCAAGTTATCTGTACAGGTTACTTCCAAAACACATACTTTGTCTTAACATCACTTATTCAATGTTTGACCCTTATAGACAAAATGTTACATGTACGCACAATCAGACAAGTATTTATTCTAAATTATGGAGTCATTTGAACAAAATTTAATTAATGCACTGAAATATGCTGCATCAGGTTACATCGCATTGACCAGAAGCTATTTTAAAAAATACACACCATCTGCTTGACAATGTATGTACAATATACTATTGTCATTCGAAACGAGTAGGCCATTGGATGCTGGCGTCTGGGTCAAAATTTATCACATTTTAAACATTACCTACAACCTACACAACTGGGATGCCAAATTAACCATCACCCCCTACTGACAGGCTCTTGTCCACATGCAGGCTGGTGCAGGGCCACCACCTTGTGCCACACAGGGGCAGCTGCTACTTGGGGATGCTCGAGTGTTTGAGACGATATACGATACAAAACTCCGAATTGCCGAGGCGATTAAGCAAGCACCATATAAATGCAATTGATAAAAGTTAATGCTTGGGAGCGTATTGGCTCTCGGTCCTGGTCAGAGATCTACCCACAGGTCCACAAAAGACTGGCCGCTCTTAAACTGCAGGTTGAATCTAGGAATTGAGTGTTCAACTTAACATTCTTGGTTCAAGGCCTGTGACAAAGGTGCATCTATTGGAGCGACATCGTCTCAGGATGACACATCTACTGGGTCTCCATTTGACTTTGTATTGTCTCGGAGGAAGTCCACCCACACCTCCACTTCCACAAACTGCTGGGAGTTGCCTCGCTCTGCCTCGCAGTCAGAAATATCCTCCTGCTTCACATTGCCTTCATCGATGTTAAGGTCCGATTTTGGAGTTGAATCTTCATCTTCACATTTCACCTTCACCTCTTCATATTTCACCTTGATACCTTTAAAAGTGTCCAAGATGGTATTTTCTTCCGGTTCTTGTTTGGTGAGGGATGGGCTCATTTCGGCACTTTGACTTTCACAAGCTGATTTCAGACTCCACTCCTTGTGGATCTTCTGATGCTTGCGTGTTCTCTGGTGTCTTTGAAGATTTGATGAAAGTGCAAATGCCTTCCCGCACGGAGTGCACCTGAAGGGGTTCTCTCCCGTGCGTGTTCTCTGGTGTCTTACAAGACTATGTGACCGTGCAAACGCCTTCCCACACACACTGCACTTGAAGGGTTTCTCCCCCGTATGTGTTCTCTGGTGTTCTACAAGAGGAGATGAATTTGCAAATGCCTTCCCACACACACTGCACTTGAAGGGTTTCTCTCCCGTGTGTGTTCTCTGGTGTGCTACAAGAGGAGATGACTGTGCAAACGCCTTCCCACACACACTGCACTTGAAGGGTTTCTCTCCCGTGTGTGTTCTCTGGTGTGCTATAAGAGGAGATGACTGTGCAAACGCCTTCCCACACACACTGCACTTGAAGGGTTTTTCTCCGGTGTGTGTTCTCTGGTGTTCTACAAGAGAATTTGACTGTGCAAACGCCTTCCCACACACACTGCACTTGAAGGGTTTTTCTCCCGTGTGTGTTCTCTGGTGTGTTACAAGAGTAGATGAAAGTGCAAACGCCTTCCCACAAACACTGCACTTGAAGAGTTTCTCTCCCGTGTGTGTTGTCTGGTGTGTTACAAGAGCAGATGACTGTGCAAATGCCTTCCCACACTCACTGCACTTGAAGGGTTTCTCTCCTGTGTGTGTTCTCTGGTGGTCTACAAGAGTAGATGAAAGTGCAAACGCCTTCCCACACACACCGCACTTGAAGGGTTTATCTCCCGTGTGTGTTCTCTGGTGTTCTACAAGAGCAGATGAACGTGCAAACGCCTTCCCACACACACTGCACTTGAAGGGTTTATCTCCCGTGTGTGTTCTCTGGTGTTCTACAAGAGCAGATGAACGTGCAAACGCCTTCTCACACACACTGCACTTGAAGGGTTTCTCTCCCGTGTGTGTTCTCTGGTGTGTTACAAGAGTAGATGAATCTAAAAACGCCTTCCCACACACACTGCACTTGAAGGGTTTCTCTCCCGTGTGTGTTCTCTGGTGTTTTTTTAAAGCAGATGACCATGCAAATTCCTTGTCACACACACTGCACTTGAAGGGTTTCTCTCCTGAGTGAATTATCTGGTGCTGTGTAAAATGTCCAGGGTGATCCGTGCTGTATGCACACCGGTCGCATTGTTGCCTTTTTGCACCGAGCTGTGCCGAGTGCCTTTGCTCCATCAGACCAATTCTGCAGAGGAAGCGACAGAGGAAGTGACAGAGGAAGCGTCAGCTGCAGACAGAAAACAATTATATCGACACCATCTACACGTCAGTAACGAGGCACAGAGGAATGCATATACAGTGAGGGAAAAAAGTATTTGATCCCCTGCTGATTTTGTACGTTTGCCCACTGACAAAGAAATGATCAGTCTATAATTTTAATGGTAGGTTTATTTGAACAGTGAGAGACAGAATAACAACAACAAAATCCAGAAAAACGCATGTCAAAAATTTTATAAATTGATTTGTCACACACAGGTTGTTATGGCACACAATGAGGGAAAATGGTCATAAACATGCCTGGAAGCCCTAGTATCTTCAAAATGAATGTTAACCCAAAACTCCGAGCACACAATTTCAGCTGTCTGGCTACAAAAGGAATATGTATGAAAGCTAAATTCAGCTGACAAAGCAAATCGTGTTGAAAATAGTACTATTTGTGCTGTGCAGAAATGCATGTTCAATTGCAACTTATAGGTGTGAAGACAGCCAGGCTCACGATGTCCTGGGATGAACATATCTGACTTCAGCTGCATGTGTGTGCTGCGTTAACTTCTTGACTGTTTCCATTCTTAAAAAGAGTTCCAGAGGAAAACAAAAACTATTGTTTTGATATAACCTGGGTGTTCAATAGAGTGAATAGACTTTACTGCAAACACAAACTTTACATTGTCAGACACTGGCATGGTTAACAGGTGGGTGGTGTTTCCAGACCCATGCCTGGCCACCTTCATCCGCTCAGTATTAATGATTCCTCACTCCACCAAGTAATTCATTGAGGATCAATCAACATCGCTGAGGCTGCGTGTCTCTCTCTCTCGCAGTGGTGAGATGTTAACTACCTCTCCTGGCATACAAGAAGTTGTGGGTTCGATCCCAACCCTGACGCCTGCTGTATATTTGGAGTTTCCATGTCTCTCTCTCTCCCCGTAGTCGCGTGGATTTCCCTCCGGATCCCCCGGTTGTCCTCACTCCACATGCAGAGAGTGAGTGAACACCGCCACGCTGTTGACAAGCCTCACCTTGTGTTGTTGTTGTGGGCAGGTTGCTTCTGAAAACAAGAGCGGTATAACAGCTCAAGCGGGCTTGGGCTGGTAAAAAAAATGAAAAAAAACCTGTACGAATATTTAAAGTAAAAAAAGCTACAAAGTGGCGAGCCGTGTGAAGACAAATTAAACTTAAGCGAGAGAATTGAAGCAAACGCGATCAGGCGAGGGCAGGAGGCAAGGCCCGCGTTGTATAGTTACTACGTGCACATCGCTTCCATGCTCGCTGCTACTCAATTGACATCCCTACGGGAGAGAGCGAGGCTCTACCTCGGTAAACAACAACAACCACCACAACCACCACCACAACCACCACTACCACGATGATAATTTCTCACCTCGGATTTCAGTGCACGAGCGGAGCGGAAGCTTCCTGTTACGTCGTGACGTCACGCAGCAGCAGGTGACATGACGTCACTTGCGGGGTACGATAACACTCCCACAGCGAGCGGCTCTGTAACTTAAATAAATTATGTTAATGAGCCTGGCCCATTCATGGAGGGATGGGGCGTGGGTGCGGAACCCGTCGCAATAATCTCGCGACGGCTTTCGCGAATACATTATGTTAATGATCCGCCAGTCACCGGTCGGAGCTTTGCCCAAATAAGGATTGCCACTGGAACAGATATAGGCAGTGGCCAAGAGGAGGTGACGTAACGGTCAAGTGTGCGCGGTCGGGAATGGGTGACATGACGTAACTAGCGAGGCACACCTCCCCCTGGTGTTTGACGCCGATGAGGTCATGCTGAGCGGTGACGTCAGAGAGCGGGGTCAGAGTTCAGGTTTGTTTACAGAAGAGGAGCGGCAGTGTAGTGGTGTGCGCGCTGCGCTGCGCTCCGCATCCGACCAGCCGAGTTACATTCTCGCTCGTGGCCAACACCGCCAGTGACGATTTTCTGAACCGGTCCTGAGCCTCCCCTACGTCGACTCAGCCTTAAACGAGTACCCGGTGCGGTGTGTAAGCATCGCCACTAGGGAGACAAAGGCGGCCGGGCGTGGCGCTGGCCAGCCACCCCCTCGTGTGCCGTGACGACCTCCATCGGTGCTACTCCCTATGAACAGCACTTTGTCGATGTTGTGGCTTGGCTCTCCAGCACACCGGTGGCGACATTTCACGAGAAATTTTCACGTCCATAAAGAGAAAATCGCCATACTAACTTATGCCGTTTTTTGGCAAAATTGGCTAAACTTTCACGGCTTTATTTTTCGACAAAAGTAAATTTTCCATTGTATTTAGCCTAATTACGCTATGTATTAGATTAAAAGTGGAAAATTTCACGATGAAATGTTCACGTCCCAAACAGAAAATCGTAATTTTTGGCTAAAATTGGACAAATTTTTACAGCTGTATTTTTTTTACAAAAAGTGCATTGCTCGGTTGTGTTTAAAAGTGGGAAATTCTACTATGAAATTTTGAAGTAAATAAACTTTTCATAGCGAGATTTTCCAAGAAAAAGTGAATTCCTCCATTTTTTTAAGGATTAGTATGCTATATATTACAAAAAAATGGGAAATTTCACGGTGAAATTTTCAGATCCCAAAAATAAATCGGCAGACTAACCTATGCCGTTTTTAGCCAAAATGGGTCACATTTTCATCGCAAAATTTTGTAAGAAAAAGTTAATTCCTCTTATTCATTAGCATTAGTATGCTCTATATTACTAAAAAGGTTGGATATTTCATGATGACATTTTCACATCCCAAAAATAAAATTGGCATAACTTTTTTAGGCTAAAAAAACAAATTGGCATGCTAACCTATGCTGTTTTTTGACAAAATTGGGTTTGTGTTAGGGGTTAGAGTGAAGTGTTAGGATTTGGGTTAGGCTCAGGGTTTGAGTTAGGGGTTAGGGTAGGGGGGTAGGAGTTAGGAGTTAGGGTTAAAGGTTAGGGTTGGGTTAGGGTAATGTTAGGGGTTAGAGTTTTATGGTTAGTGGCTAGGGTTTGGGGTAAGCATTGGTGGTATGTTTCTTATTCTTGGTTCTTTCGGTAAAGTCACGTAGAAGGGAAGTAATAAAATAATAAAAATAAAACATAAAATAATTCTCACGATGTTTCGGCCACAACGCAAGCAGCCGTCCTCAGGTGGAGAACAGGTCCGTCAAGTAGACAGAGTCTGAATGTCACGCCCCAGGCTTGGAGCGACTATTTATGCTGGGATGGAGGAGCGAAGAGCGTCTTGACAAAATAATTTGCATATCAAGAAGAATTTAGCATATTTATGGGAAATGCAGATATGTGATTATCACTACTTGTGAAATGCGTAGGAGGTTTGGCGAGGGGTTTAAAGTCATTATGCCCATGCATTATGCAGGATTAGCAGCATCAAAGGGAGGGAGTAAGGTCAGTATTAAAAAAGGGAAGGAATGTTAATAATAAGGCGCCGCAGCAACTAATATGCTTATTGACTATACCTTGTCATATTACACTATGTTTTATTCTACCCACTCAACTGTATAGCACACTGCTATATATTCACTATAAAATTACGATACTATATATTACCTTATACATTGTATTAAACATTACACTTTAATACTATTTATTATTATACAATATGCTATACACTATACCACTGACTGTCGCGTGAAAGGCACCAAGAGGAAGCAACGAAATATATCAATGGGAGAGTGGTGAAAGGAATCCCGCAGCAGAGCAAGGAACCCATTCCCCGCGGAGAATACAGGATATATAGTCAATGTCAGCGAGTGGAACGCGGTCCGAAAGTCACCGTAAACGTGAACACAATCAGTTAAGATCCGAAATGGTTTATTACGTCCTTCCAATGATTGCTGAGCCAGAATCCATCTTCTCGGTTGAAATTGTCTCTGTGTTTGTATATGTGGATCGCCTCATGAACGAATCTCTCATGATAGCCAGATGGCTTGCAGAGAACCTCTGTCTTGGAGAAATCAATGTAATGTGAGCCCACTGAATTATAACAGTGATCTGCCACGGCCGAGGTTGTTGGTCCTTCCTACAGGGACAATTTCAACCGAGAAGATAGATTCTGGCTTAGCAATCATTGGAAGGATTTGATAAACCATTTTAGGTCTTAATTTATTGTGTTCACGCTTACGGTGACTTTCAGACCGCATTCCATTTTCTGCTCCCCCCTCCTCTTTTCTGAACATAGATGGACTCGTCCATCTGGCAAACTGCCAAATCGCTGTCCTTCGTGCTGACGTTAGGAAAAGCCGCCACTTTTTTCAAATTTTCTTGCTGTGGATTTCACACCTGATGATGATTGCTTGTGTTGCAGTCGAAACGTCGTGAGAATTGTTTAATATTTATATTATTTTATTATTTCCTTTCTATGTGACTTTACCGAAAGAACCAAGAATATGATTTACAACATCTTACCCCTAAATTTCAAGGGCCTCTTGTTTAACATCGGGGTAGGTGGCCACAGCCAACGCCATCAGAGCGCTACGGTAGGTGAGGGGAGACTCTGAGCTCCCCTGCCTCCATTGCATGAACTTTCATCGAGTGTCAGAAGGTGGTTCGTAGACCTCCGCCATCTCGGCAGAAACACTTCTTCTCAGGGGGAATCGACCTGAACACCGCGGGAGCGTCATCATCCAAGACGGTCGGCAAAACGACCAGTGCCTCCTCCTCCAACCACTGCACTGACAGGAACGCCACCTTAAATCTCCAAGTGAAATCGCGGGCTCCGACCGCGCCCTAGCCGCTCCGTGGTCTCCGTAGTGTGCAAAAAAGGCGGCCGTCATTTTCGCAGGGAGACCCTCCGAGGCTCCAGTCCCGAGTCCTTGAATGTCACCCCTCGGCAATACCTCTTGCGGAACCCCCCCGCCAGCTCGACTGAAATCATTTGAAGCGTGATTCTTCGAAGGTGCCCGACCGCCCGCTCTTTTGAAATGATGCTCCGTATGGTTAGCTTGGGTGGGCTTTGTTTGGAGTGTTCAAGGAACCCTCCTGCTCGACCAAAATAATTTGAAGCGGGAATCTGCCGAGTGCCTGACCGCCGGTTCTTTGAAGCGACGCTCTGTACAGTGGGCTGGGTGGGATTTGTCGGTGCGTTCAAGCAACCTCCCCGCTCGACCAAAATCATTTGATGCAGGAATCTGCTGAGGTGCCCGACCGCCGGTTCTTTGAAGTGACGCTCCGAACGGTTGGCTGGGTGGACTTTGTCGGTGCATTCAAGGAACTCCCTGCTCAACTGAAGTCATTTGACGTGGGAATCTGCTGAGTGCCTGACTGCCGGTTAGCTGGGTGGGCTTTGTTGAAGTGTTCAAAGAACCCCACTGCTCGATTGAAATAATTTTATGTGGGAATCTACTGAGTGCCTGACCGCCGATTGGCTGGGTGGGCTTTGTCAGTGCGTACAAGAAACCTCCCACTCTACTGAAATTATTTTACGCGGGAGTCTGTGGAGGTGCCTGTTCGCCAGTTCTTTGATGCAACGTTCCATACAATTAGCTGGGTGGGCTTTGTCAGAGTGTTCAAGGAACCCTGTTCGACTAAAATCATTTAACGTGGGAATCTTCCAAGTGCCTAACGGCCTGTTGGCTGGGTGGGCTTTGTCGGTGCATTCAAGGAACCCCACTGCGCCACCGAAATAATTTTACACGTGAATCTGTGGAGCTGCCTGTTCGCCGGTTTTTTGAAGCAATGCTCCGTCCGGTTAGCTTAGTGGGCCTTTGTTTGGAGTGTTCAAGGAACCCCTCCTGCTCGACCGAAATCATTTGACGCGGGAATCTTCCGAGCGCCTGACCACCGATTCTTTGAAGTGATGCTCCGTACAGTTCGCTGGGTCGGATTTGTTCGGAGTGTTCAACGAATACACTGCTCGACTGAAAGAATTTGATGCGGGAATCTTCGGAGGTGCCCGACAGCCGGTTCTTTTGAAACGATGCTCCGTACGGTTAGCTGGGTGGGCTTTGCTTGGAGTGTTCAAGGAATCCTCCTGCTCAACTGAAATCATTTGACGTCGGAATCTACCGAGTGCCTGACCGCCAGTTGACTGAGTGGGCTTTGTCAGTGCGTTCAAGGAACCCCCACTGCTCGACCGAAATAATTTCACGCTGGAATCTGCCGAGTTTAATGGGAAGCACCGACAAAGGCCCACCCAGCCAACCGTACACAGTGTCGCTTCAAAAAGACCGGCGGTCAGGCACTCGGCAGATTCCCGCATCAAATGATTTCGGTCGAGCAGCGGGAAGGGGGTTCCTTGAACGCACCGACAAAGCCCAACCAGCTAACCGGCGGTCAGGCATTCGGAAAATTCCCACGTGAAATGATTTCAGTCAAGCAGCGGTGGGGGGGGGGGGGAGGTTCATTGAACGCACCGACAAAGCGAGCAGCAGGGGGGG